TATTTTGACCCCCAATTAATGAACTAAGGTAAAAGGATAATTTTGTAATGTGACACATCTCACCTACCACATATCACCTACCACACACCTACCGCCCACCTACCGCCCACCTATCTCCCACCTACCACTCTCTTGCTTCTATAAATAGAGAGGGTGTGAGGCTTAGGAGTGCAAGTGAAGTGATCTTAAGCTACCACAAAGGAGGAGAGAATAGCTAGAGAGCTAGAGAGGAGGAGAGCATCTTGAGACCTTGTATCAAGGTGTCGCTTGAGAGGGAGACCATAGAAGGAATATGAGGGCTCATCTCTATGTATAAGCTATGTATTCTTCATTTCTTTTGCCTTAGTGAACTATTTGATTGATTCCCTCCCGTGGACGTAGATCCAGTTGGATCGAACCACGTAAACGATCTGTGTTTGCTTGTGTTTTTTGCGTTTCATTTCTATGCCAGGAAGTACATATCTCACAACATCATTAATTCATGAACTTTCTCGTAAAACAATATTTTAATATCCTTTGCATCATTAAGTGATAGTCGACTTAATCCAATTGGTAAAAATTTTTGAAGTTGTTACCAATATATTGAGTTCAATCGTTGCTTACACAATAATAATCTCCCTTCTTCGGATGGGCCAAAAAAAAAAAAAAAGGTGACGAAATGTGAGAAACATGTAAAAGGTAAAATGAAGTCTATGATTAACAAATAACAATACAGTTCATAATTCAGAACTTTGAGCAATTTTTAGGCAATCCTGTGTCATAATCAGCCACAACAATCTCCATCTCTCCACAGCTCATGACATCCTGCCCAAGCTTAGCCCCTGCCATCTTCAAACCCTTCAAAGAGATTGCCTGGTTGAATAGATTGATGACTGGAAGCCTCGATGCCGGCGGCATCTTCCCTGACGGCAACAATCTTGTGAAATCATCCTTCATCAATGGCACCTCAAAGTCCTCCTTGTTGTGCTTCAGAACATTATCTTTTGCGCTGATATGAGCTCCAGGCTCCATGTGATTAGTAGAGAAGCTCATTTGGTTGGGAAAATTTGGATAAAGGCTCACATAACCCCTCAGATACATCATATCAATCAAAAACTTCTTCCATGAAGCTTGCCAGCCATTAGTTCTTGACTTGGGGATCTGAACTGGGTTCTGTTTCGCATCTTCTGTGAATCTTGAGCTCATGTAGGCATAGAATTCTCTCCACTGCTTGGGGAAGAACACCGCTCCCCAGCTGCAAGGGAGCTGGTGCAGATAAGGAGTGTTGGGATGTATTCTCTTGAAGAAATCTGTGGCATTCCATTTGGGCCTTTCTTTGACAACTTCAACAAGGCGAGGACTGTAGAGGGAGATGGAAGATAGCTCGGGGAGGGAGACCTGGGGGTCATAGTGGTATGAAAGGAGGGAATACTTGATCCAGAGATAATAGTAAGGGGAGACCTCAATGTCATCTTCGAGAAAGAGACCGAAGTCGTCGTCAGAAGCGGGATACCAGCTCTCGCTTACTGCTCGAATGAGACCACCTTGGATTATTCGTCTTCTAACTTGTTTGGGTCCATGAGACCAATGGAAAGAACCAACAACCTTGAGAGTTGGTTCATCAACTTTGCTGTCCATGTTGACGCTCAGAGGGACTTCATCACCAACATAGAATGCATTCTGAAGCGACCGAAGCAGTCTTTGAAGAGAGGTTGTGCGGTTTTGGGTGATGATGTTGACAGAGATTCTCATTCTGTTCCAGTCTGCAGGAAAATGGAAATGTTTTATGTTTTATGATCCCTAAACTTTCTTAAGATTACAATATGAACAATTTATAAAAGCGAGAGTTATATTACTTGGTAATGCTGTGGGTCTCAAATCAGCCATCCATAGAACCTTGGTTATAGCAGATCTTGGAAGAAGAACAACCACCGAATGATTCAAACTACTCTCTGAAGCCATCTTTAGTGCATTCTTAACATTTTCATCTATGTCTGAAACTGTAATCAGAAGGCTTGGATTGTGTATTTTAACAAGCCCTTTCATGCTTGAGTACACAGCCTGCATGATTGAAACTTCGGAATTTGACACGTTGGAAATAGCTCCTAATTCCAAATCAAAGATCTTAAACCTCCTCTCCCTACAAACAAACTTTGGCCATTTGAGAACATCTGCAGCTTCTTCACAAGGACAGTAATTTCCACCAGAGACAGCAATGTAGGCCTTTCTCCCAACCGTGGAACGAAATTTTTCAAGGAGAGGAGCTAAGGCCTTCACCTCTCCTATAGAATGAGCATAGAAGAGAGCATCGATCTTCTGCAGGTTCATGGCCGCCCACTGAGTGATGTAACCCATGGAAAGCGCCCTCCACCATTGATCATCTCTAACCTGTATGATGTCTTTGAAGATAACTGTGGTTTCAGAAACATAAGCAAGCCTGTGCTCACTATCTCCCCATGTTTCCTTGTCATTTGGATCAACTGGTAGCACAAATGATCCTGCGTTTCTGTATTTCTGAAGCTGATAGCTGCAAACCACAAGTGAATCATTCCAGATAATAATGGAAAAAGAAAATGATTTTTTACTTTAAATTTCTGCTGAACACAGCAACAACCAAATAAAACTGAACACTGCCATTGCCAGTCCCAAGCCCGGATGTGAAAATGTGGAGGGTTGCATTAGGTAGTTGACAGCTAGCGTAAAACTTGTCGAAATAAAATTATGGCATGAATCCTTTTGAATCATTGTGTAAGTGGTAGGGCATCCCCTGAAAGCGACGTGCTATATGATTTTAATACAGTGAAAAGTTTGCAAGGGCCGCTACTCCGGCCCCCGGGGGTTGTGTCAAATAAGCAAGAGTTCTCATATTACAGACGGATGCGAGTAAGAAAGTTAGTTCATGAAACTAGTAAAACTAATATTAGGATATGATCTTGGAATATATGTACTCTCAATGAAAAAATAATTGAATTAGTTGATATTATTATGCATAGAAAGATTAATATCTTATGTATTCAAGAAACTAAATGAGTTGGAGAAAAAGCTAAGGAGATTGATAACTTAGGTTTTAAACTTTGATATTTTGGGAAGAGTCGCACTAGAAATGATGTAGGTGTAATTATAGGTAAGAGTTGGAGATAGAATTATAGCCCTTAAGATTATTATTGATACTAAGATTTGTAATATTATAAGTGCTTATGCTCCACAAGCAGATTTAGATATAGGGTTTAAAGATAAATTCTATAATGACTTAAAAGATTTAATACAAATGATACCTTTTAAAGAAAAAAAAATTATTGGAGGAGATTTAAATGAAGACGTCAGTAGAGTAGTAGAAGATTTAAAAAATATTCATGGTGGCTACGGTTTTGGAGTGATTAATGAAGAAGGTAAAACTATTTTAGATTTTGATTTAGCGTGTAATTTTGTTATTACTAATACTTTATTCAGAAAAGAGATGAGCATCTTATTACTTATAAGAATGAATCTAATAAAACACAAATTGATTATTTTCTTATGAGAAGAAGAGATCGTCGAGATTGTAAAGGTTGTAAGGTCATTCCAAGTGAGGATTTAAGTACCCAACATCAATTATTAGTTTTACATTTTAAGATTAAGAGTTGTAAAATAATGAATACTAGGACTCATTATCATAGAATTAGATGGGGGGAGTCTAAAAGACACAAATAAAATTATTTTTTTTTAATAAAATTCAAGATTTTAAAATTTGGGATATTCAAAATTTGGGATGTTCATGATGAAGCAAATGCTATGTGGGATAAAGTAGCAAACATTATTAAACAAATAGCAAAAGATGTACTTGGAGAATCAAAAGAAAAAATTTCTATTAATAAAAATAATTGGTGGTGTAATGATAATGTGCAAAAAAAGATAAAATTTAAGAAGATATGTTATAAAAACATGTTTAAATGTAAGAACTTTGAGAATTGATAAAAATATCAAACGACCAACAGAAAATTTAAAAGAACAATTTGTGATACTAAAAATTTTATTTTTAGTGATCTTTATAACAGATTAGATACTAAGAAGGGTCAAAAAATATATGTATTAACTAGCCAAACAAAGAGAAAAAAAGTAAAGATTTAACTCAAGTAAAGTGTGTTAAAGATGAAACTCAAAAAAATGTTTTTCATAGAAAAAGATATTCAACATAGGTGAGTGAGTTATTTTGATAAACTTTTTAATGAAATTTCTGAAAATACGATCGAAAGATGAAAATCAAAAGTGTTTTTCTTAGAAAAAGATATTCAAAATAGGCAGGTGAGTATATTTTGATAAACTTTTTAATAAAGTTTCGAAAAATACGATCAACCTTAGTTATCTTAATATCGTTAACAATACTAATATGTTTCATTTTTACCATCGCATTAGTAAAAAAGAAGTCGAGGAGGCTTTAAAGAAAACAAAGGGTGGAAAGTCTTTAGGACCTGATGATATCCCCCAATTGAAGTGTGGAAATTTTTAGGAGATTTGAGAGTTTCTTGGCTTACTAAACTCTTTAATATTTTTTTAAAAACTAAAAAAATGTCTGAGGAGTGGAGTAAGAGTATTTTGGTCACCATTTTTAAGAATAAAGGGGATGCACAAGAATGTGCAAATTATAGAGGAATTAAGTTGATTTGTCATACTTTAAAATTATGGGAGGGGGTAATTGAACATATTAAGGCACTTGGCACGGGCACTGGGCACTGGGCACTGGACACGGCGCTCGCGCGGGCGTGCGTGCGTGCGTCTTTGATTTATATATATAAGCACGCCCGGCGGCCGGCAGCAGTCGCCGCCTACCCCACCGCCGCCGTCGCCGCGATCGGATCTGGCCAGGATCTAGCTTCGTCCTGGGCTGGATCTAGCCCCGATAATTTTGGATTTATGCCGTGCAGGTCTATTATGGAAGCTATACATTTATTGAGATGTTTGATGGCAAAGTTCAGAGATAATAAGCAGGATTTACATTTGATTTTTATTGATTTAGAAGAATCTTACGATAAGATTCGAAGAGATATCCTTTGGAGAGTTCTTAAGAAGAAAGGTGTTGATATGACTTATATTCAAGTCATTAAAGATATGTATAAGAATTGCAAAAGGATTAACCAATTATTTTCCTATTTTGTTGGATTGCATCAGGATCAGCTTTAAGCCCTTATCTTTTTGCTTTAGTTATGGATGGTTATACCGAACATTTGCAGGAGGATGTACCTTGGTGTATGCTTTTTGCTGATGATATCCTCTTGGTGGATAAGACAAGAGAAAAAGCCAAGAAAAAACATGAATTATGGAGGTCTACTTTGGAGTCTAAAGGCCTTCATTTGAGTAGAACTAAAATTGAATGCATGGAATGTAATTTAGTAGTAGTAGCTCTAGTGATAAAAGTGTAACTTTGGGTGGTCAAATTATTAATGTAATTTAGTAGTAGAAGCTCTAGTGATAAAAGTGTAACTTTTGGTGGGCAAATTATTAAAAGGTTTGAACGATTTAGATATCTCGGGTCTGTTGTTCAAAGAGATTATGATATAGATGGGAATGCTAATAGTAGAATTCAAGTTGGTTGGTTGAAGTAGAGAAATGCTTTGGGCCTTTTGTGTGATAAAAAAGTACCGCTTAGCTGAAAGGAAAATTTTATAAGATGGTGGCGAGACCTGCAATGCTCTATGGCGTTGAATGTTGGCCTTTAAAAGAGAAGCATAATACTTAAGTTAAGTGTTGCCGAGATGAGAATGATTAGGTGGATGAGTGACTTTACAATTAGAAACAAAATGCGAAATGAATATCTTTGTGATAGGGTTGGTGTAGCTCCAATAACAGATAAAATTAGATAGAGTTGTCTTTGATGGTTTGGTTACATTAAACGTCGACCATCTAATGATCCGATTAGGAGAGTAGATGTTTTAGATTCGACTTATGTTAAGAAAGACAGAGGTAGACCTAGGAAGACTTGGGCTTATTGTATAAAAAATAATCTTAATTTATTAAAATTAAATGAAAATATGACACTAAATAGGACGTAATGGAGAAGAAGGATTCATGTAGCTGACCACACGTAGTGGGATTAACGCTTTGTTGTTCTTGTTGTTGTGGGGAGTATGTTGATGCATCTTATTTAGCAAAATAAATTTGATTTGTAGTTTACCTGAGGTGCAGATCTTCACCAGTCATGAAAGTGAAGGGAGTCTCCACAAATAATGTCTTGACAAGATCAGAGGAGAGGAACCATGAGCTCGATAAGAAATCGACCTGCACTATCCTCTCTACTGTGATATCATAAGCTGGATCAGGCAAATATAGTCCCGACTCCTTCGTCCTGAACTTTCTGTAGCTTGGAAAAGTAAAATCCTTCTGCCTAAAAGGTAAGATCCTTCCAATACTCCCCAAAACTGAATTTTTATACTTTTCTATGCCCCCAACATGAGCTAAAATCTCCATCATCTTTTTCCCAGGTATCATATCATCGTCAACAATGTAAACAAAGTCTGATTCTGTTTGCAGGGCCAGCTGAAACCTTCCATAGTACTTGAAATCATAGCTCGAGCTTACGAAGCTAATCCTGGAATCATTATAACTCTCCACAATTCTCCTCAAAGGGAGTTCATTTGGGCTCCCAAAAGAAAGTACCCATACATGGTGGAACGGCAGTGTCTGATTCAGCAGAGAGTTCAGCTGAGCGCAGAGAGTTCTCCTCTTGAAGTGGTTCAAAATCACAGTAATTTTTGGAATTTTTGGACTGTTAATGCTCCATTGAGACTTCATTTTCATCAGCTCAGCAAGCGTTTCAGTTCCTAAATTCTTCTTCTGAAACTCCAAAATCTCATCATAAAGCTCCCTTTTTAGCCTTATCATGACCTCATCATTTGATTTCTTCTGCTCAAAATCTATTTTTTCGTCCTCGCAGACCTCCATTGGGGACTGAAACACCGAACTCTCTTGCAGGGCAGAGAAGATTCGAGGCTGAACTATGAAGTTCTTCCATTGTTTTGCTAATTTGGTTGCCCATGTGAAGTCTGGTTTAGTTCTAAGGTCCACAGAAGGACTCATGTAATAAAGAAGGAAGGTGGCATAGATTGCGAAAGCGAGTTGAAGGAAGGTGAGAATAGTAACAAGGCGAGAAGTGGAGCGTTTTGCTGCCCTAATCTTAGTTCCTTCTCTGCTAACATAGTCTGTGATTATGCCATCCAGGTACTCCTCACTTCTTAAACTTGGATTTCGAAGCAAACCCATTTTTGAAGACTCCAGCTTCAGAAGAAAGGCTTCTGCTTGATGCAGTAAGTACTTGTCAAGTTCATAAATATTTACAGAATTCTCTTAATCTTTTGATAAAATGAGTTGATATTGTAACACGAAGCAAGTCAACATTGAAGATATTAAAAACAGGGGGAGGGGGCGCAGCATTTACATGCACACCACACAATTCTTATGTATTTACATATCCAGTACTTAGATTTTAATGTTTATAACGCCAAGGTGATATAAATGCAAATATCAAAGTTTAGATCTTAGATATGTAAATTCAAAAGATTTGTGTTAGGCATGTAATTTTCTCTATAATAAAATAATAAAATAAAGAAATGAGTGACAAACAAATTTTCGGGGATTTATTGAGCACCATCATTCATAGTATTTAGCAGATCTAAATTCTATCTTAAATCTTCAGACAAAAAACCAACTAGTTTATCAGAAATAATAATATTTGACCGTTTTCATGCAAATCTCAAGATTTACTCAAAGAATTTACGTAGCTAAAATGCATCGAGTGAAAGAACTCCATTGATAAAAACTGGCCAACCCTTTTTATTTGGAGCAATTACATTCATAGCACTATTTACAAATCTAGCACTTGTTTTTAAGATTTACATGCAAACCCTTAATTCCTAAATATTTGCATAGCGAACACCAAGAATCTAACTTTTACATATACGCCATCTTACTTATGCATAAAAAGTGTATTTCACTTCTAAAAAATTGAAAAAAAAATATTGATTTGAGTGGTATCAATGTATAAAGTAGAGTTTACATAAGAATTGGGCTTCGATCAATTTGGAATGCTTCACTTCATTTCCAACCAATGTGCCTACACAATCAAGCATATCATTTTCTAAGCAAATCTTATTGCACAAACTCACCAGTAAGCCCACAATTACTGCTACTTTGGTTTCAATCCTTCCGGTTGCTGCTGCTCCAGTAGCCTCAAAATTTGTCTGAAATTAGAAAATCTGATCAAAAAAGGAATTATAAAATAAGTTTAATAACTTACATAAACAAAAAACAGATGTAAATGAATATGACTGAATGCTTACACTCTACAAAGCTCTTGGTTAAACTCTAATGAACAGAGTTTAAAGATCAGGAGCAAGAGATTTATGTGTAAATGGATCATCTGCAGTGAATTATATAGAATTTGGAAGCAATTATTTTATTTTATTTTATTTTATTTTATTTTTTTAGTAGAAATTGGGAAGAGCAAGTGAAGCAGTGGAGCTTACTTGGGATGTGAGAGATTTGAGTAAAGAAAGCCAGTACTGTTATCTGCGCACATTGTCATTCATTCCTCTTACTTCTTCTGTGCACTAATGAAGTGCAGATTTCAAGCAGAAGAATTGGGGAGGAAGTAACCATTTGGGATCTGCGCCTTCTTAATTTGGAATATTTAAAGATGGACTTTGTAAAACTGTTTAGTGATGAGCTGGTTTTTTATTTTTTATTTTTTTTTTATTTTTTTCTGAAATATTTACATGCATACCACTTAATTTTTATGTATTTGCATATTTAATGGTTATATTTAATTTTTTTTATATTTATATGCTGTGTATTTCATTTTCTTTTAAGTTAAAATAGTGATATTTCTGATGTGAGCGTGAGGTGAATGATATGCATGATATAAATGTAAGAAGTAATGTTTGGGTATTAGATATGTAAATGCATAGAAATGAGATGGTATGTAAATGCTGATTTATATACATTACATACCAACTAATTCATATGATATTACTTATCTATATCTAAGCTTCAATTTACTTATATGTGCATGAATAGGGCTGTAATTTTTGCTTGAAGATCATTAATTGCTCAAAAATCGATTAGAACTTTAGCCGGATCGAAAAAATAGAGCCGATCTGTGAGCTAAAATGAGCTAAAATTTTGAATCGAATTTTTTTCAAGCCCATTTCGATTCATACGTGGATCAGCTTGAACTGACTCGAGATCTGCCATTGGTATTATTTTTATTTATACAAAATTATATATAATGCTAAGTAAGATTGAATATAATGAGTAACGAGCTAATTTTGAGCAAATTTGAGCTAGAACGGATCCAAATAACTCAATTTGAGCTAGTTAGTTTTAATTTTGAATCGAATCAAGCTCTGAGTCTAAGCTGAAACAAATCCAAATAGCTTAATTTGAGCTAGGTTGTTCTGATTTTAGCTCGGATCAAAAGATTATAATTGGAAGGTAATGCAAGAACAGTAAAGATATTGTTGTGAAACCTATCAAGACAAAATTATAAGACAATAAAGGAACATTTAAATACATGTAATAGAGAGATTATATGAATATAATGTTAAATATAAATTCGATTCTATAGTGTAAGTTTATGTTCATAAAAAAAAATATTTATTAAAGAATTTTAACGTTGATAGAAATTTGGCCACACTACGAGACTCAATTATTTTTTGGATAATTTACACACATTCCATTGAATTTCTATGTATTTACATATCTAACACTTAAACTTCAATATATATATATATATATATGTAACAAATTTCAATATTTGTTATAATTTCTTCAAAATATTTGCTATCCCAACTCAGTTAAATGAGGTACGCCAAAACTTTGAATCTAGGCTATGAAAGTTGAAGGGCTCGTTTGAGGCAGCTTATAAGTGCGGCAGCATTTTTGAAAATGCCACATTACCGTTTGGTTTGCGCGTTTTTGAAAACGTTGTTTGTCGCGTTTGAGTTTTTTACACTTAATGCAGGCCGCGGGTCGAGTCGACCCGCAAGCAGCGTTTCAGGATAACCTACTTATCCTGAAAAACACAAGCTGCCTCAAGCAGACCCTAAATTAGTGTGATCGCTAGTTTTGTAGTCTCGGATGCGTGTCACATTTTGAGAACGTATAGTTTTTCAACTGAGGTCTAGTATTTAAGATCTAGACCTATACTTTATATGTTTTATATCACCGAGTCTTTCATATCAAATCAAAAATATCGTTTTGAATTTCTAAAATATGAAACACATTTTCATATCTATAAAAAAGATGGGATATATATACAATTTGAAATTTATATATTAGATATGTAAGTACATAATTGAGCCATATTCATGTAATTCTTCCTACACACACACACACACACACACACACACACACAACTTCTAAAGCTTTTTAGAAAACAAAGATTTGATTCACTTCATTAAAAAAGTGAGCCACACATTGTTAACCCCCGCTATGTTTGGGGGCCAATGCGGTTTGCAAATAATTTGAGTACCACAGCCTACACATGAATGGATTCGAACTCGGGACCTGAGGGGACTTACGACCTTCAAAGAGACTGCTCTACCAACAGGCCACGAAACACGCACTAAATGCATACACATCAAAAACAATGAAAAAAATTAGAAAATAACACAAAAGAAAGACCAAGAGCTACACTCTCATCCTACCATATTTAATGCACAAAGAGTGACCCTAAAATTACGCTTACAAAAGACACAAAACGCCAAAGAAGTGAACAAAACTCTTAGAAACAAAACAAAAAAATCTCCAATCCCCATACCTCAAATACCAGTAGAATCCCCCATCTCTCCAAACCCACATCTCAAGGTACAGATGGCAGTCAAATCAATCCCCTTAGTTTATAAACTCGTAAGCACATAAGCAATAGGCAAAATAACACCAATCCAAGCCTCCATTAATAACAAAGGCCACCACCTCCCCCGCCATTGAAGGATCTCTGCACCTCTCAATTCTCTTCAGATTCACACCACCATTTTATATGCAATCACAGCAAGATGATAACTTTGACCTCCATATTATAATATCTCTATCAAAATATTCAGACAGTAAATCAAACATGTGTCAGCACAAATCTTGAGGGAGTTTGATGTTTCGATATAGAAATAGTGTAGACTGTAATCGACTAACCGATTCTGAACTGCTCGGATCGAGTCAAAGTAATCCACCCGATGGATCCAAGGCCGATTGACAATCATTACTTTCGGCTCTCTTTCAACCCAAAACTCAAGTCCATTAGCCAATCGGTGGGCCTAGCCTAAAGTTCAGACTGACCAATAGACTCCTCCAACTCGAAAACATCCACGGACGAAAATATTAATCTCATACATCAAAATAGCCCACATTATTCTGATAAAGCTATGACATAAATGTAATCTCACAGCTTTAGGCCTTATATCTATAAATAGAGAATTATTTATCGAATAAAGATTACACATTCCTGATCAGTGCATCTTTCGGGAGGAAATTTACTGGTGATCTAGCGTTAGGATAAAAAAGTTTTTTTTTTTTTTTTGGAATATTTACATATATACCTTTAGTCATGTGCATTTGCATTGCTAACTCTTAAGATTCAGTTTTTACATATATGATACCTTTTTTTATGAATGATACTTTTTAGAAGTTAAAATAGAGATATTTTATGTGAGATGAAAATTTGTGTGGTATAATATATCAAATGTAAAGTTTACTTGATGATTTCGATCTGATCTTCGCTGAGCCAAAATTGGATTCAATTTTCAAGTGATTAACAATCTTCGAGTTAAATTTGCTAAATTCGAATGCTAGAGCTGTTAACAATCTTAGGCTAAGAAAAAAAATTGATATAAAATGTTGGCTCGTAGCAGAGCTCGTTTATTTCGATCTGATCTTGATCTTAGCCAAATTTTGAATCCATTTTTAGTGATTAAAGATCTTCGAGCTAAATTCATAGACAAACATACTTGTTAGATAAGTAAATACATTGGAATTTGGTGATATGTATGAAAATGCACCTATTATTTTAATATCTCAGTTATAATAATCAAGAGCAATCTTTTATGCTGCTATATTGTATTAATTATTCATATTATGTTATTGATTAAGTTATTCTTTAAGATATAATAAAACTATTTATAATGATTTGATAACAAATTGAGAAAACATTTATTTGAAATGTTCATAACATAAAATCGTAACCATGATATTTTCTTAATTATAACATAAAATGCAAATTGATACAAAATGAAAACAAATTTAGGGTCTGTTTGGGGCAGCTGAGCTTATTAAAAAGTAGTTATGAAGCTGCTGAAAATAATCTGATATTCAAAAAGTTACGGTGTCTGTTACATTTTATTTTTTTTAAAAAAAAGAGTCAAGCTGTAGCTAGAAAGATGCCACCACACCTAGCTAAGACCAATGAGAAAATGCAGATTTCAGCTACAGCTTTTTGAAAAAGCTGTCAAACGTAGTTTACCTAAACAGACAAAAATGCGGTGCGGTGTTACACTGCCGCCCCAAATGGATGATAGTAGAGAGAGAGAGATAGAGAGAGAGAGAGGGGGGGGGGGTAGGTAGGGAAACAAACAACAAGTTTTTAGCCTTGCTCTAAGACAACTTTAAAGCATAATGAAAATGCCGTTAAATATAAGATTTATTAGTGATAAGAAGAAATCATTAATTAAAGTTTAAAATTTTATGCTGATTCAAATCCAACAACATTTTAAATTTAGTTAAATTTTAACCCCAAATCAAACACAAAACTAATGCAGGTTAACTCAAAACTATAATGTAGTGTCCAGCCCTCATAACTAATAAGACTTAGGAATCCATGCTTCTAATTGTGGAGCTTAATGCCCAATTTAGTTTAACATTTAGGGAGTAAATGATTCCTCACACCAAATTTATGAAGGAAGATTTACATACATACCACTCAATTTTCATGAATTTACATATCTAATACATAAATTTCAATTTTTATGTACATGCATGCCATCATTAACTATGCATGAAAAGCAGTTTCTCAATCTTTAAAGATTGAAGTGGTTGAATGTTTGAAGTGATATGAAGGATTTGTGTGGTATAATTGTAGAAATGTAGAGCATAAGTGTTACTTATATAAATACAAAGGATTCTGGTTGTATGCATGTAAATGCTCCATTTATAATTATGGCTTGGATACATGATGTTGATTGAAGCTTTCCTAGAAGACTTCTAATGTTTCCTATATATATTGACACTTCATCAACAAATTTTATCATTTGACATGAATCTCAAGGCATTTTTAGTAAAAAAATATTCCAATTAAAATTAAAAAAAATCAACAGCTTCTTTTTATCAAGCTTATTGTCAAACTGATTGTCTCGACAAGACAAACCTCATAATATCATAATTGATTCATTTTGAGTCTGATCAAGCTCAGATCAAGCCATTGAAACACATTTAGAGGCTTTAGCTCGTTAATTGGAGGTCAAATAAACTCTAAATTTGATGTGTCTATAATCAAATCAAGTGTCTTAATAAAAGGAATCTGCCGAGCCTAAGCCTTCTGAAGTCATTAAAGCCCTCAAATTATTTTAAAAAATCCCTTATGATGAAAGGGCTATAAATAGTCAAATCAAGTTGTTACAGGACTTATTTGTCAAATAATCAGAATATCCCTCCTCAAGGGCTATAAATAGACCCACTATCTTTAATTGGGGAGAAGAGATTGAGTCAAATTTTAGTACTCTGGACTAAAGACCCAACGATAACTTCTGACTTCTGCAGTCGTCAGCCAACGTAGACTAACTCCTATCGGTTGCCCCCTACTTGCATCCATTGAATCTTTTGTGTAACATAATATCTTCAAAATTGTGAAAGAAAGAAACTCAAATACGAGGCAACCGAGTATCTCATATATGAGATACAAAAGTATTTTGAATATAGTGTAACGAAGTACCCCAAGTTCGGGATAACGAATTATCCTGAATATTGTACAACAGGGTATTTCAAATATGAGGTAACGAAGTATCCTGAATATTGTGCAATAAAGTATCCCAAAATATGGGGTAATAGAGTATCTAGAATACAAGGAAACTAAGTATCTCTAATATGGGGTGACGGTGTATCCCAAACATGTTGTATTAAAGATTCGATGATAACTCACGACGACAACTGCTTAAAACCTTTGTATTTAGAATATGGTGAATTTCTCTGAACTCTTAAAGTTTTGTCCTTACATCTTATGCTGACATGTGATGCTTCTAATGTAAAATAGTAAACCCAAGTGAATGGTTGCAATCAACAACTAGTGTAACACCAATTATAGTCTCTATGGCCAACTGTCACTCTTACAATAACCCACAATGACCTTTGTGGCTAGTTATTATTATATATTCCCACTATAGCCTCCATGACCAACTATTATTATTCCATGCTTTTATTATGACTTGTATGACTAACTACTATCATTATAACCTTCCACTATAGCCTTTGTGGTCAATTAAATCTCTTGTAGCAACATATCATGGCCTATGTGACTAGTTACTACAATAGCTTCCTACGACCTACGTGGCTAACTGTTGTCATTACAGCTTTCACTATAGGCTCTATGGCCAAATGACATTTTTGCAGCGATCCAATATGGCCTATATGATTAGTTCCTGTTGTAGCTTTCCACTGTATCCATACATGATTAATTGTTATCATTACAACCTTCCACCACAGTCTAAGTGGCCAACTGCCGCTCTTACAGCAACCAACTATGGTCTATGTGGTAAGTTACTATTGTAGCTTCCCACCATGACTAATATGACTAATTGCTATCATTACAAACATCAATACAGTTTTTGTGACCAATTGACGCTCTCGTAGCGACCCACTATGGTTAATGTGACTAGTTACAACTGTAATCCCCCACTACGGGCTACGTGACTGATTGATGTCCTTACAACCTTCTATTATAGCCTATGTGGCCAACATACGTGCTTATAAATACTCACTATAGCTTATGTGGCCAATTACTACTGTAGTTTCCCATTATGACCCATGTGGCCAACTATTATCATTATACCCTCTTACTATGACTTATGTGGCCAACTACTATCATTGTAGCCTCTCCCACTATAGCCTTTGCGGCTAACTACTATCATTGTAGCATTTAGTTATGACCTATATGATCAATTACAGTCATTGTAGCATTTCACTACAACTTATGTGATCAACTATTGTCTTTATAACATTCTATTATAATGTTGGTAGCCAACTGATGCTCTTGTAGCTACCAACTACAGTGGCCTCTTTGATTAACTGATACTACTGCAACTACCAATCACAATCTATGTATCTAAATATGACCTATATAGCTAACAGCTACTTCAGCTTCCAATTATGGCTTTGATCAACTACAACCTCTCTAGCTAACTGTTACTACAACATTCAATTATGACCTATTTGACCAACTACAACCAATGTGGCTAATTGCTACTACATGACCTTTGTGGCAAACTACAGTCTTTATAATATCAACTATGACATTTGTAGTTCAATATTGTTATTATCGCCAAGAACTACATTTGTTGTAGCTCAATTAACGGTTATTAAACCTAGATGACTATTGTACATATGTGATTATCAACGTTACAATTTCATCTTATTTGATTCAGGCGATGAACCTATGCACTTATAATCTTATAATGGATTACTTTGACTAGGCAAGGACCCCTGATTTTTTCTTTTATGGGGGTTTCCCAATTAAAGTTTGATGTCTCTTCCTATTACTTTTTTATTAATTATGTTTGTCTTGTATCTTCGTACAACACTAAGACGTTAAATCATCAATCTTCTAACACGCAACATAAAAGCTTATTCTGGCTCACTAAATTAGATTAAGATAATCAAATTATGATGAATAAGCAATTGATTTGGCCATTAGATACAAATATAGCCAGGTAATACAAGTAAAGCCGCTTAAATTATATATTATAATCATCTCTATTCTGATCAAAAGCATTATTCTCTTTGATAACTATAGGCTTTGGGGCTTCTAGTAACATTAGGAAATAAAAATAAAATCAACGAATTTTGGAGATAAATGAATAGTCTATTTTTGTCAAGACCAACAAAAATAAAAACATTGTCTACATATGAATTTAAAATATTATATATTTTGGGGCATTTACAAACATACCACACAATTCTTATGTATTTACATAGATAACACCCAAACATTTCTATTTAAGCACCATCAATATCTTTTAAAATGTACAATAGAACTTTTCATGCAAAAATTTTTGACACCAAACTTCAAAAGTGTTAAAAGTGTAAATATCAAATTTTGGGTGTTAGACACGTAAATAGATGAGGATTGCGTGGCATGCATGTAAATTTCCCTTATATTTCATCTTAGGGGCATTTACATACTTACTTCTTGATTATTATGTATTGACATATCTACCTCCTACACTTTGATTTTACACTTATACCACCCAAATTTTCAATATCACATCAAAAATATTACTATTTAAATTCTTAAAAAGCGGAAAACTTCTTTTTCATACATAGCTAGAGTGACAAAAAATAAAAATTAAAGTTTAGATGTTAGATATGTAAATACATGAGAAGTTTATATGAGATATGATCAAGTAAAAGGTCTTAGGGAGAGAAACTAGTCAACATAAAAAAACGATCCAACCCGAGTCTGTGAGCCCACCTCATGCATTTAAATCATAATTGTAAACTGAAATATAAATTGGGGGATGAATGATCTCCAAATATGAGAAGTTTATAGTCGAATCGGGCGTCTTAAGGAGTCGAATCGAACGAGCTCAAGATCACTTATTTATAACATAATTAAGGCACTTACATACTGATAAACATCATCCGATAAAATATCAAACAGCACATTTCAAAAAAAAAAAGCCAGCCGCCAAAAGTCAACTTGGATAATGTTTACGTCAACGATCACGGGATTGATCAAAATACAGCGAGGCTCTGAAAATCGCAGGTTTGAAGTCAACGATTTCGGCCACATTGGATTATTTTATTTGTTGCTTTCATTATCGTTCTATCGATATGAAAACATGCTTAAAAATTCTATTTATTTTAAATAAGAAAATCAAAGGATTAGCAAACTGTTTTTCTAACCTAATAACGAGTAATTAGCATTAGTTCTAACTAATGTTATTAAACAATAAGAAATCATAATAATAATAATTAAAAGCTCAATTAAAAATCTAATTAGCCTAAACACATTGCTAAGATTTCATAAATCATTAGTAAAATCAGAAGCTAATTAACTTTTACGAATCTTAATCATAACTATCTTTTCAACCTAATTCTATAGTGAACTACATAGAAAACGGTGGCTTGTGCAGCTTTTCATTGCTCTCTTCCAAACCTTTGACTCACTCACATCCATCCATCTATGGCAGCTTATATTATAAATATTAAAAAATAAAATAAAAACTAAATTGATAGTTTATGATGATGCTTTTCTCTTTGATATTTCATAAACAGAAGTGGTAATATTAAAAGGAAAGCATGAGAAAATTAAAACCCCAAATATGGCACAGATTACAACCCTGCTCTATGCACATCAAAAATAAGCCAAAAAACTAAGAAAACCAAAAAAATTAGAAAAATCAACCCTTAAATTAATCACCTTAACCATACCTCACCACTGTTTACCCCTCCCACACCTTAACTCTCTCCATCCCCCAACACAATACCTAACTTTATTCATTTACAAGACAGGAGTATACCCCACCATGTAAGACCATCAAGTTCTTTCCCCCTCTAACTTTTTTCTAACCGATATTCCTTCCCACTATGAAGAAAAAGGAGAGGCACTGGGATGAAAAGGCAAAAAAACCAAAAAAGAAAGAAAGGAGCACTAGTATTTTTGCAGAACAACAATGGTGAAATTACCTTGGATCAGGCCGGCAAGGAAAGGACCTAGCAGGCCTAATGGGTGGCCTTGAAGGCCTCGGAGACGGGCATAATGTCTGTGAGCGCTGAAGCATGTCGACCATTGATGGTGTCTGGTAAGAATGAAGAAGGGTAGCGCTGTCGGTCGAGTTCCCTCGAGCAGTTGCCCTCTGCCATGAATGAGAGCTCAGTCCTGAAAGCACATAAGCTCTCCCAGATTCTTCATACCTCTGCCTGCTTTCCATTCTCTCCTGCATCTCTCTCAGCTCAGCATTCAGCGCGGCGCATAGATGATCACCGGACTGCCCCGCCAACGACTCAGAAAGAATCACCCGGCGAGCTTCGAGAATTGAGACGGCTTCAGAAAGAGCGCCACGCTCGGCTGCAGCCCTTGCTTCTGAGATAGTCTCCGCCGCGCAGATTCGATTCCTCTCCCGATCTACTTCAATGGACAAATCTCTTTCTGATACAGCTTCTGGCCTTCGAATTCTCACATCTTCGCCGTTCAAATTCACCATCTCCTTGGACAAGGGATCTCTGTAGGAGCAACCAACCTTCAGGAGCGCAATCTCTTCATCGGTCACCGGTGGAACATTAACAGAAACAAGGAAGTCCCTCTCTTCATCTGCATACAGATCCCCAACGCTGATCGAACCCTTCAATCCATCAACAACCTGGTTAGCATAACTACCTGACCTTATAGGAGCGAGCTGGATGCCGGGATACAAGCACTCAACTTCAACAATCAATTCTTGTACGACGACGCTAAGGAGGCCGCCGATGCACTGCGCAAAGGCATCCTGAATCGTGCACTCGGACTCTATGAATGAAAATGTCCCACCCGAAATCTCGGAGATCGAATGCATGGAAAAAGAATCATGATCGGTGCCGAAACCGAATGCATGAACAGGAACCTGATGGCCTGCATTGCAGCGGATGGAAGATGGAACTAGAGATTGGTAGTCCGGCGGAGAACGGTTAACCCCGCTGCCACTTGAGGATACTGTGTATGTGTCTTGCCCGTCAGAGAGGAGTATGATGCTGCAAACTGAGTTTTTCTCCTTCCGCTCTTCGATCACCTTGGCTCCTTTCCTAAGTCCCTCGGCAATATTGGTTCCACCGCTCGAAACAAGGGAGTTAACGGCCTGCAATACATGCTGCCGGCCAGACTCAGTCATCCGGCGAAGAGGTAAGAGGCGTCGTGCGGTAGAAGAGAAAGCAATGACAGAGAGTCGATCGGAAGGACCGAGATTCTGGATGACGAAGCCCATGGCACGCTTTAAAAGTGCAAGCTTTGTGCCGGCCATGCTACCGCTGATATCAAGCACGGTCACCAGATCAATAGGTGCACGAGAAGGATGATTTGCTATCAGACTTGCATTCTGATTCCCACAAGGGGCCTTTAGATGGATCAATATAGAGAAAGATTCTTCAGAAGCCATTTTTGGAATGGCGGAATATTCTGGGTATGCTTTGACATCAATTGTGCCAGTCAATCCATGTTCAGGAACTTCAGATTGGAACCCTACAGGCTCATCATCATCATAAACATTTGGCTCAGAGATGGTTAAAAGAGAAGAGAGCTGATGTTGCCTGTTGGATAAATCTGTGCGAGGAAGCCTACGCAAAAGGGTTATTGTGCCATCCTCCTGTGGCCAGTGGGCTGGATTTACTCGAGCTCTCATATGAGGAAGATCGGACAAAGGAGGACCTAAGAAAGGGATCTCCTTCCATTTAGCCCTGCAAATGGGGCACACACAATTGCCAAATTTAACGTTGGAAGCAATACAGTTGAAGTGGAAGGCATGCGAACATTCTCCAGTAAAGAGGGCACCATGGCCTGCTTTCATACTCTCCAAACATATAGCACATGTTTTCTGCATGAAAAGGAGTTATGAGAATGTTGAAGTTATAACTTCTCATTTGAAAATTAAGAATATAAACTAGGCAGTTATAATAAAAAATAGAAAGATGAAATCAACCTAATAAAATTTATCCAGGAATTCTGCATAGAGTAATACAAACTATTCCAAGGCTCCCAGCCAAAAAAAAAAAAGAATTTTCATTCGAATTTTCATTCTGGTTTCATTCTGGTTTAAGCATATTTCTGGAGGTGCATTTCAGTGCTTGGGGGATGAAACATTTCCCAAAATTGTTACGGAATTTAATGTACTTACATAAAATCTTAGAAATTGCTCATATATCATATTCCCCATAAGCCCATAGATTTGAAACATAAACCAAACAACACTGACGATGAGCCTCAATAAGCAAAAGCTTAGAATATAGACCATGCGATGGACAAAAATAGAAGATAACACTGTAAGACTTCAAAACCCACTTCGAAACAATGTTAAAAACCAATTTTGTAATTCAACAAAAAACAAGAACTTTTAATTAGAAGCATGATAAAAACATCACCATAGAGAAAGAAAAAAGAGCAGATGCTGAAAATCCCAATGATTATTGAATGTATTGCTAATAATCTTAATGTTCATGATGACAGTTATGTAAATGGCATTAAAGCTTCAAAGAATTACTTTAAAAACATGGTAAACAGTGATAATAACAGCAATAACTATAAGTTTTAACAGCTCAAACTCATTTTTTGTAGAGTGCATTAACTTACTTTCAAAACACAAATACAATTTGAACTCATTATTTCAAAATTTTCAATGAATATGCTTCCACCAAGTACAAAGTCAACACATCTCCAAACATTTACGCATGTAATGGCATAAATATATAGGAGAAGCCACTGTTTGAAAAGGTCATGGCCCAACATCACATTTATAATTAAAAAAAGCATAAGATGTTGAAAATTGGTTGACTCAGTGGTTCAAAGAGCATTTTTCTTCCACAAAATATAGCAATAAATGGAAATCATCTCAATAAAGATAACATTACAATATCAAAATTATATTTTTTTAATTGTTTTGTCAAAAATGGAAATGAGATGTTTGAAAGCCACAGTATTGTATCAGGCAGTTCATCTACTACTACTGTTGATAAGCAAGTGGAAGAAAATCCATAGTCTATACAATTTATTGAGTTCATCTTCAATAGGACTTCTTAGAACCAATTAATTCAAATTGAAACATTTGCAGCATCTTACTCTGCAACCACACCCATCCTTGTTATAGATTCAACCATGAATAATCAAATAACAATTGCGCACACCCCCAATCCAGATAAAATGCAACAAAAGCAAACAAACGGACAAAACTAAACCCTGCAGGCTGAAAAGCATTGTTGCCTACCAAAGAGGTGAAATCCTCCTACAGTGAGAACAGCGGAGAAATTAAAAGGAAAAAAAAAAAAAAAAAGATGACATCCACTTTTGATTTACTAGTCAATGGCGATTACCAAAGTGACAGCCACATGCCATCTCCGAAGAGCAAGGCCGGGAGAACCAAACAAAAGAATATGAAAACCTAATGAGAGGCGAGTAGAGCCATGGCCCAGTGATCGGAAGTTTTTCTTCCCGCCGTCGCTCGGTCCGGCTTAGGTCTTCACGATTTTAACTTGAAAAGGGTAAAAAAAAACTAAACAGCAACTAAGGATAACTGGAAAAAGCTATGAAACCCCAATCACAAGCCTCCGATGGCGCAAACTACAGGACAAAATCCAGCAAATAAATTAGCTGGAATTATTCCAAATCTCAACCATGGAAAAGAGACCGGGAGATCAGCATCAACCGCACATCAAAAAATAAAAATAAAAATAAAAACAGATTTGACCTTGTATGATCTGCTCCCAGATTTCGACAGCCGGAGACAGGACGAGGTTGGGGTCGACGAAATCGGCATCAGAGAGAGTAACCCAGAGTCGGAACCACCGCCGGCAGCCGCCATGGAAGCGCCGGCCATTACAGTAGATGCATCCGACGTCCTCCCAGTTCCCAACCGCAGGAACTCCTCATCCCGAGTCCTCGGCTCGAATACACACAGGTTCAGCCCTAGCGCATCCTTCGCCTTCTTCCACATGCCCCCTGTTTTCCCCTCCCGAGCGCTCAGCCTCTAGGGTTTCCCAGATCCAGGCGGCCGCGTTCACGAGATTCCTCTCCGTTCTTATCAAGTGGGTTATAAGGGCTGGGTAAAGCGTTGGAGGAGAAAAAAGAGAGTCGATGGGATTGAAACAGTGAAGCTGGACTAGAAGCCAATTGGTCTATGGTCTCGCCCGCTTTCTGTGAGCCGCCATTAAGGTTAGAGAGAGAAAGTGAAAAAGTGAAAGCCCTCTCTCCTCTCTCCTCTCTCCTCTCTCCTCTCTCCTCTCTGGTTTTGACTCAGCGAGCAGCTTTATGAGAGCATGAGGTCCAAGAGGAAAAACTTAATACAGATATATAGACATTCATGTAGTTATTAGCTAATAGCCCACGATTAACTGTTTTATTACGGAAGATTAAAGATAATGACTTTTGGTGATTTGTCAAATAAGATGGGGGTAGGATGGTAATTTAAGTTCGGGTTTGGATTACTCGGCCGGCACGATTAGAAGAGGGAATAATGGAGTGGATGAAAGCGAAGCGGGGGAGTAATTTTTTATTTATTTTATTTATTTTTCTTTTTATTTTTAAAATTTGTAAAGTTCTAATTTTTATTTTTATTTTTATTTTTTTTGAAATTTGAATATCTTATTGAATTTATCCACAAGTTAAAATATTTTTTTTTTATTTTTTGCACGTTTAAAATTGGAGAGCACGTCTTACTTGATAAGAAGCACTTTATATATTTAAATAACATAATAAATTAGCACATGAGCTTTTAACTAATAAAATAAGTTAGAGTATAAATTTTTTATGAAGAAGTTAGAAGCAAAATCGACATTTCCATGCCTAGCACCCAATCATATGTATTTATGTATATATCATGCACCTAAATTTTAATTTTTTTGAGGTTAGATATTATACAACGAAAAATGATTTTGACCAAATATTTTGTGGATCTCACGATTTAGAGCAAGACATGTGTCAAAAGATGAATCTCAAGAGATGTGAAGTTACTGGAAGCAAGGATAACTGAATGAAAGCGGTGGCCTGAATAGAGACCAATCAAGCGGGCGACAGTGATCGATGAAACGAACGACCGATCAAATGCTGGCGGATTACAAGTCGACCTACATGAGGCCAATCAACTCAGAGGCCGGTTGATGAGAAGACGACCTACCAGAGACCAGTCAATTGGAAGTCGACCTATCTAAAATTGGAAAATCAAAAGTCGGCTGACCAAAGAGGATTAGAAGTGTATCATCATTTCATAATAATTCTAACCTCCTATAAATAAACAGTTTTAAATGTTTCTATTATTGAAATTAGGGGCAGAGATTACTTTTTGAAGAACACACACTCTCTCTCCCTCCCTTCCTTCTTTTACGCTTTATTCCTTGTGTGTCACTCACGAATAAATATGGGTTCTAACGGACATGAAAAGGCATAAGACTTGAATGATATGTATATAAATCTTTCAAAAAAAAGATAGGGGCTTTATCCAATTAAAATAAATTCATACTGGTATTACCAAAAACTGTAGGCACAAATCATAAAGCGATTTTACGGTCAGGAAAGATAGTCGGGCAAACAAAACATCGGACTAAAAGAGCATGATCTGGACCGACCATTTGATGGTCGACCGATCGGTCAAAGACAATCGACACATGGTGCCAAGGGATTTAATCAGTTGGCCAGTCTTATGAACCTAGGAGCATCTGGACACGATGGGATAATCGACCGACTTTGCTTTGGCAAGAATAGCCACCATTCGACCAATTGCCTTGGTTGACCGAACTTAAAAATATCGACCAACTGGCAACCATCATATTCAAATTCAAATTGTAATCCATAAAATCAGGTGAATTTAGTATCAAATCAACACATTGCATTGAGGGTGGCATCCCATGGTCACCATCATCTACCACACCTGCTTGTAACGTCATATCTAAATAGGTCCATAACATATAAAATAGTATTGAATATCCAATGACAACTAATTTCAGTGTTGATATAGATTGAAGACTGGGCAACTTCCGGTCTCCATGGAAATTGAATGCCATCAACCATTAGTTGGTAACCTCAGTTGACCTTCACCAACTGCCCCATGTTCGTTATCGCCA